CAAATTATTCCTTGCCTATTATGTTAAAACTAGTCCTAGTATTTGTCTAAATGGTTTGAACAGTTGTTTCAATAAACAATTTGGACCATCCTGACAAAATAGTCCAACTTACTACCCTATTCAATTCTACAAGATGATTTAACACCTCCTTTCTACGGATATATTCTCTAGAGACTTAAGAGACTTCCACTGTAGTACTTATGCAATAGGATAACTGTAGGATGTTTCAAACTGATAAGGACAATTCAACTAGGACAGACAAAAAAGGACATGCCAAAAGAAAAAGAACACTTGTTTTAAAACACTTGTAAAAGCCTGTATTAATATTTACATAACCTCTAATTAAAAAATAAAAGTTTCAAAACATACTGGTCCAAATCCTGTTTTGGGATGCTACAGAGCTGAGCTAATAGGCATACAACACATTTCCAGATTTCAGTGGGTGGAATGGTCTTATACCAAGACCAACTGCCAAGTCCCTTGGCAGGTACCTCCTTCATGTGAGTGGTCTGGCACCAGTGTACATAAACTGTCTCCGTAAGACGAAGTCCAGAAGATCACACGGCCATGATACCTACTATGCTCCAGGCTCTTCTTTTTTCAATCCTCACCTGAGGATATTTTTTTCCATTGATTTTTTTTTTTTTTTTTTTGAGAAAGAGTGGAGGAGAGGGGGAGAGGGGTGAGGGTGAGAGAGAAAGAGGGAGAGAGAGAGAAATACCCATGTGAGAGAGACACATCGATTGGTTGCTTCCTGCACGAGCCCAACTGCCCTGACCAGGCTGGGATCAAGCCTGCAAGCCTACTTGCCCTTGACCAGGAATCAAATGCGAATCTCTAATCACTGGGCTCCAGGCTCTTCTTGATGGCTATGAACCACAGGTTACTAGGAGAAAATTCCTACACGAAGGATGTTAAGTTAGCAGATAGAAAAGATTTCTGAATTATTTTCAACTCCCTTTTATTTAGCATGAAATTACAGGAGGCAGAGTCTATGACTTAATTATGACTTTCTTTTAAATTCTCGACATTTCTCTACAGGTCTTTTGTCTCTAGACATTTTTCCTATCTCCCCGTCAAAACTTCCCTTCTTAAACTAGAAATGCTGATATTAATGCTAACAGCTAATTAATTCTACAGTCTTGGTTTCCATGTAAACTTTACTGTTTCTTATCTGAATTTCATGAATTTAGAAGTTAATTAATTCTATATATATTTAAGGAGGACTTGCTCTATTCTAGGCACTGTTCTAGATGATGGGACTACAAAAGCAAACGCATCTAAGTCCCTGTCCTCATGGGGCCTACATTCTATAGCAGGGAAAAACAAGAAAAAAGAAAACCCCAATTCAATTCAATTCAATTCAATTCAATTCAATTCAATTCAATTCAATTCAATCTCCTATATGTTGAAGAATTTCCTCCCTTGACTTTTATAAAGAAATTACCTACAAAAGAATTTAGTCATTGAAACTTTCCTTGAAAGAATTTGCTGTCAAGCAACCTTCCTAAGACACACAGAATGAAGCAAATATTATCTCCACTTGGAGAGTCCTTTCTCTCCCTTCAGCCTATAAAAAATCCATGTGAAATGTATTTATGTTAAGTTTGATAAGGTAAATCACTAATTTCAAAAGTTTGAAATTTTGTTAAGAAAATCTGTTCTCTGTAGACTCAGCAAGGAAATAGGTGAAGGAAACTAGATTGCAAGTCAAGACTTCTGCAGAGGTTACTCATGCACTTCTTTAGGTACAACCCTTATGATGTAATGATATTTATAGCTCATTTTAGAAAATCTGTATCATAGAAACGCCAGCTATGGCCTGCTAATTGTAACTGAAATGTGTTAATGACAACTACTAGCTCAATAGTGTGTAATTGAAAAACAAAAGCAGTAGCATCTGAACTCCTGCTAAGAGTTATTCTACTATGGGAGAAGAGAAAGGAAAAGGGNCCTGCTAAGAGTTATTCTACTATAGGAGAAGAGAAAGGAAAAGGGCGACATCAGGAACACATCTAGGTGAAGGCTTGTTCATTTTTCAGTCTCCTGGTAAAGTTAATTATGGGCCTTGTTTCCTATAACACTAACATTTTTTTCTCATTGGCTAGAAAAGGATGTGCAACTAAAATATAATCCTGTTGATGTTCATGTGTGTGGGGGAGGTGCTTCCTGCTAAGGCATGCCAAGAAGTTTGTATGTTTTGCAGCAATAGACTAGGCAGGTTCATTTAGAGGAGACTGGTGTACTATATCCAACTAATGTATGGCCGCACTTGATTCATGATGACAAATAACTACCCTTGTAGGATATAGATTGGGTAAAGAGAAGTAGCACCCTGTTTTTCTCAGCTTTAGCTTTGTCTGGCACGCAACATTCTAACCCAAAGAGCTTTTTGGTTGGTATTGTGCTTGTCACCTTCTTTCACACCCTCAGGATAAAGTCCTGTGGAAAGCTTCCCATCTTCACAGTATATGCCCCTTTCCACAACTTACCTCACCATCCTTCCTGGCTGCTAGTGAGAGGCCTACACACGTCGCCATCATTTTAAGAAGTATAGCTCCAAGACACAGGCTTTTCAAGGAGAACTGACTCCAAAAGAGTGAGATCACTAACAAGCATGGGCAGTGAATCCAGGGAGTGCAAGGCCACCAATATGTGTGAACTTATTAATCATAATTATTATTTTTCCTAAGAAAAGGATTTCCTTAGTCAAACCTCCAGGGCATCAGATCAAAGGGAGATACTGCCACAGCTGGACTGTGTTTTCCAGCCAAATAGCCCAGAAAGGAGACTCTAGACAGTGTCCTGGCAACTGTTTAACACAGCAGCAATCCATAACGGCAGGGAAAGAATTCTTTAGACTGACTTTTTTAAAAGTCTTCCTTTACTTCTCCTTATTTTTAAGGACAGTTGGAGAGTGATGTCAAAGCCCTAGGGCATATCCTTGGTAGGCACTCTATGAGAATTACTGACCCTGAGAATTCAGAGCATTCTTCTATAAATAGAAACAAAAGGTTTTAGTTCAGAGTATAGTTTACTTTTTTTTTTTTTTTTTAAATACTATATATTTATATTTAATTATAAAAAGCATATCCCAAATCAACTGGCAGAGTACTTGGTCAATTTTCTATTTCCAGTTTGAAGTGAGTCTCTATAAACCTTACCAGGACACTGTAAAATCATACTAGATAGTGTACTTTATTAATAAAGTCACAACAGGGGAAATTTAGTTATATGCCCTGGAAGTTATCCCAAAATACATTTAAAAATTATAAAAGTGACTACTAACACACAACAAGAAAAAAGAAGCCACAAAACCCAAATCCCACTATGTCAGAAGCACAGCAAGACACACAGGAATCATGTGAAAGGAGAAACCAGGGAGCACACCAAAAGATTTTATGAATTACAGAGAAACAAGATGTGAGAATGATCGTGTAAAAAAAAAGAAAAAAAGAAAGCAAAACAAAAACAGCGTTTCTACAGTGAAGGAGAGGCGTTTCTCACCGTTCTGAACAAAATGGCTGTGCTAGGGGGGCCTGCGGGCTACGCCCAAATGCCCTCCTCCTCGTCCTAGGGGAGGCGGCCAGGGGGGCGGCCGGGAGCATGGGAACGAAAGAGAGCCGGTTAGTACTTAAAACAGAGACAGAAGCATAAGTAGTAGAAGAAAATGGGTCTCAAATTTCTTGATTCTTTTTATATTAGATTCTAATTCCCTATACTACTCAAATTAGTAATTAGTTTGTCGTTACACTTCTGTGCTTCCTACCTTACTACCAAGACTGTCTCTCTCCCAGGGCCTGATCTGGGCAAAATGACCATGTTGGAGACTTTTCTTTATCATTTGCCTTTTCTTCAACCTTTCTCCATTTCTGTTTGCCTCCCACTACTCCCAGGCATCCAATTACTTGTATTTATTATCAAAACTGTTTCAAGGAAAGGATCTAATACTCGTCTTGTATACATTGGCATACATTTAATCCCAGGTATCCAGAAGCAAAATGACTTCTTGGCAGAAAAAGTCTACTGGCCTCAGGCACACAGCTCTCCATTTTGTCTATATTAAAGATTGGCTTGCCTAAAATATAAGGCTTGCCTCAACTGGTTTAGTAAATGTCATCATACTATGACCATAACTTCTGAATCTTAGAAAAAATTGCAATTTGGGTATTATTGCTGCTTTCATCTCCAATATTCCTCCTTCTTCTAAGACAATGCCACGCCATCATTTAGTGGAGATGTTTAGTAGGGGAGTTTTCCTTGACTTTTTGATCATATGGATGTAATTATTTAACTGTTATATTTTTCCCCTCAGCTATATATTTTAAGACTGAGAATGATGGAGATGTTGAAATCTGACTTTTGGCAATGGGATATGAGGTAATCTGTTCACCACTCTCCTCCATCCATCATTTTCAAGATCTTGGGAGAGTTCCCTTTCAAAAAACTAGAGTTGAATATGGTTCCCTTCAGACTCATCAATGCCTCTTTTGCACTGATGAGAAGTTGAAGGCAACAATTTTCTTTGGAAATGACATATGCTGGAGGGGTCCACCAAGGTAGTGGAATGAAGAAACTATGTTTCAATCTTCATGTTTAATAGATGACCAGCAGACACTTTAAAATTTGCAATTAAAGAATAGTTACTTCTACACTGAACTGTGCCTCATTGAGCTCACAAGACTTAGGCATTATTTCTTTAAGAAGAAAAGCAGGACGGTTACAAATTAGTATGTGTCACTGAGAAGAGTAAGTTTTTCCCCCTCAGTATTCAAGGATTCTTTATTGTCCTCAAATCTTTTGAATATCTCCTCTTAAAATATTCAGAATCATCTACCACCTTCCTGTATAGAAATTGGGTTCTGTTTAAAAAAAAAAAAGAAGGAATTTTCAAAAGCTGATTATTTTTATTTTTCTAACTTATAGCCTCAAATCTGTAGCAAAATACATAAAAATAAAAGCATATTGATTTTTTATAAAACATTCAAGAGCAGACTTACCTGGTCTGGGGAGGGTTTATGATTGCTTTGATTGGAATGAGAACATTTGAAGTGGTCGTCCTCATAGTTGTCGGCCATTAGCTTCATTCGATTTTGTGTCTAAGAGGAAACGATTCATAAGGTTAAATATAGATAAAAATTCTGTGACACTGTAAAGTAACAAATGCCTTAGGAATGTCATACAGTCTGGCCAGCGTGGCTCAGTGGTTGAGCGTCAACTTATGAACCAGGAGGTCACAGCTCGATTCCTGGTCAGGGCACATGCCTGGGTCGTGGGCTCTATCCCTAGTGGGGGGCGTGCAGGAGGCAGCAGATCGATGACTCTTATCATTGATGTTTCCATCTCTCTCTCCCTCTCCCTTCCTCTCTCTGAAATCAATAAAAACATATTAAAAAAAAAAAAAAAAAAAAAAATCATAAGAAAGGATAAAACTAATACTGTCTGAAATAAACAGAATTTCTAAGGATATTGGGGGGAAAAGTTTAGGTACAGCTATGGACTGAATTGTGTACCTCCAAAATTCATTCTGGAGCCCCATCCCCCAATGTGACTGTATATGGAGATAAAGACTTTAGGAGGTATTTAAGGTTAAATAAGGTCAAAGGGGTAGGGACCTAATCAGAAAGGACTGTGGCCTTGTAAGAAGAGAGACATCTCCCTGCCCCTTTCTCTCTGCCATGTGAGGACATAGTAAGAAAGGGGCTTCAGCAGGCCAGGAAAAGAGCTCTCATCAGGAACTGAATCAGCTAGCACCTTGATCCTGGACTTCCCAGGCTCCAGAACTGTGAGAAAATAAATTTCTGTTGTGTAAGATACCAACTCTATGGTATTTTGTTATGGCAGCCTGAACAAACTAAGACAGGGACCTAAATTGGTACAGGAATTTTTTTTTGGGGGAGGGAATAATTTCCTCAAATTGAGCACTTTAAGCAATGTTTTTGTTTTTAAAAATAAAGCCTGGATTATACTACAGATAGGATATGNGGGGGGAGGGAATAATTTCCTCAAATTGAGCACTTTAAGCAATGTTTGTTTTTGTTTTTAAAAATAAAGCCTGGATTATACTACAGATAGGATATGATCCTGTAACTCTATTTTTTCACTTCATGATTTACAGACCCATCTTTCCATGTTACTATAAGATCTACTTATCCTTTTAAACAACTATTCCACTTTGGGGATGTTATATAACACACAGGCCATAAATAGTAGGAAAAAAGTTATCATTATCTGTAAATGAAATGATTATATACCTAGAAAATCCTAGACAATCAATTGAAAAACTATTACAACTTACAATAAAGTTCAGTAAGGCGATCAGACAGAAGCTACACATATAACATTCAATATTTTTTCTTTAAACTGTCAATAAATAATTCAGGTTTTGAAAATAAGACAAAGATTTTGAAATCCCCTTCTTCAACCCTAGACTAGAAGAGAATTATTACCATTACCTTTTCTTCTCAATGTTTACCAAAAAGAAGGACTGGACTGGTGATTCTATGTGGTTGGATAACATTTTAGAAAATTCACTTTGCAGAGCAAGTAATTCAGAAAATACATGGTATACTATACATAAAATCAAACAGCAATATATATTGCACTAACAAAATATTGTTATAAGCTGAAGTTTTAAAAGTATTAAAAATAAACTTGCTAATATTATGATTTAGAAATTTCACTGAAGATAATCTGAAAAATAAAAATAAATTACATGTATATCCCTTTAATCAGTGATAATCACTTTTAACATTTAGGTGTATCCATTCAGCCTCTTCCTATGAACATAAAAAGTGGCATGCTGTTCTGATGTACTCTCTATTTCTGCTACAATATGGTATTTTAAAAAATTACTATATCTTACAGTATACTTTGATACGTGGTAGGACATGCTGTCCTTCCCCTTCGCTAATTCTGCTTTAAATCTGATTGGGTATCTTCAGCACATCTTCTTTATTAGATGAATTAAAAAGATTTTGTCTAGTTCCATAGAGAACTTTATTGAGATTTTGCTTTGGTATTTTTTCATGTAAAGATGTCTGAGCAAGGGCTTTAGAGCCAAACTGCCTGGGTGTGCATTCTAGTTCTGCCTCTTACCAACTACTATCTAAACTTGGGCAAATGACTTAAATGCTCTGAGCTTCAGTTTTCTCACCTTTAAAATGAGAAAAACAATACTTTTTCCCCATAAGAGTGTGGTGAAGATTAGCCAATTGACCTAACAGAAGCACTTAGAAAGCTGCCTGGCAAAAAATCAACACCCAATAAATTTTAGCTATCACCATCATTATAAACATTTTTATGTCATCAAATATTATTCTAAAATCAATAATTTAACTGGCTGCTTAGTATTCAATTGAATGAATGTTTAACCCACATTGTTGGGCATTTAGTTCTTCATACTTTCACCTAATAATATATGCACATTTCTAAGCCAGTTCCTGCCCCTACTATAAAATGAAAGCAAAGAAAATATGTATCAAGAATTATCTGTGATATCAAATTTGCACTCTGAGATAACTTACAGTGACACTGAAAATATGCAGGATAATTTTTCTTATGCCATGTGGTATTACATGACAAACAAAAAGTCTTATGCAAAGCAGCTCTTGGAAAAGGAGGAAGGGAGAGGAAAGGGTAAGGAGGTGCAACCAGAAAGTGAGCAAAACATCTGCACATCATTCATTTAGTCAGGAAACTTTCCCATGTTGACTTTAGTCAGAATGTGCAGCAAATATATTCTTGGGTAGTTCTTTTCTTAGAACATTATGCACTTAATCTTTAATACCTGATACCTAGTATAAGTTAAAAAACTTAAAAAGAACGAATAAAGCACACACAAATCCACCCTCAAGGCAGAATGTATTTCAAGTACTTCTTAGGAATGAGTATGAAAGCGTCCCAAAGGAACTGATGACATTAGACAGATAAGATTATAGGTCACTCATCTGATCCATGTAAGTGAATGAAGACATAATCGTAAGAACTTCTCCATTTCTAAAAGACATGAAGATTATCAAAGTTTAGTATTCCTAGGTCTAGTATTCAGATATTTGGGGTGAAGCCTGCTCTTTGCATAGTCATGAGGGTTAGCACTAAATATCTGACGGCCCACAGAGCACTAGGTATTATAGAGATTGTATAAATGACTCTCTGCTCTTAAGGAGCTCTTGTACTACTCTCTTCTGAAAGTATAATTCCTATAGATTCCAATTAGGTGAGTCAGATTTAGTTATAAATTTAACAAAATCTCAACAAATTACTTGTATTTAAAATTTCATTTCATGAAAAAATATAGTCATTAATTATTCTTGAGGTGTTCTGTGTGTTTGTCATGTTACACATACTTGTCTGCAGATTACCTGTGTAGTTTGCAAAGTTCCTTTCCTGTTGGTTAAACAATGGAAGCCTTGGGAATAACTCATGAGGAGCAGTGCAGCAGGAAGGAGACAGCAACAAGATTAGGAGAAGTAACTGCTGAATTTAGCCCAACAGCTGTCACTGTCTGATTACCTTTGCATCCCATTTTATTATCTCAACTGGAGTGTTAGATTTACAATAGAAAAGTGTGTCTTCTACTGATTTTGTTTTGATTTTTAAATAAATCAGTTTAATTTTGGTTCTGATTAGTACTTTTAGTTTACTGATGAAATCATGAAACATATTATCCCGCAAACACTTTCTATTATGCACCAACCAAAATGAAACCATAAGAAATCTCAGCTGCGGCAACCCTAAATCGGATCAATTCTCCCCATAACTGCCATATTGTTTTTTAAAACTTAATTATTATTATTTTGAATATTTCGTATATTTATATAGTGTAAGATTTTATAACAGTAAAAGTAAGTCTACCTCCTATTCCTGACAGTTCCTCTACAAGAGGCTTACCCATTACTACTTTCTTGCATGTAGTTCCAAAGATATCCTGACATTCCATGGTTACAGAAGTGCGCACACACACGTGCACACATACAATTTTCCCTCCAACAAATGGTAGCACACTCTAGTCACTATTCTGCACTATTTTTTTCACCTAACTGCATCTTGAACATATTCCATATAAGTAAATAAATGGCTGCCTCATTCTCTTTGCTGATGCACATTTAGGTTATTTCTAATATTTTACTATTAACAAACAATGCAATAAGAACAATCTTGTACATATGAGAAACTGACAAATATAAACCGTCAAAACTAAGTAAAATTATGTTATATATCATTCTTCCTCCAAATAACAGCTTTTTCCTAATGTGAAAAGCCTAAATTTGTTTGGTTATATGACTAGAGTTGTCCAGGTCCCTAAGACACAAACCTGGTTCCACAGAAAGGTAGAGGGGTGCGAATGGAAAGAACAACCATATGTCTAGTGGACTTGTACTTAGTTGAAATAAAAAACAATGAGCAGTGATGGCATTAAAAATGTATACAGCAGTTAGAAAAATTTACCCTATTTGATATGGACAGGTCAGATATATTCAAATATAGTATTTCTGAGGCAAATGGAAATAATGACATGAGTGTATATTAAGTTCTCATTATTGGTAAAACATCTAAGAGTTATAGTAGCAGGCTCTGTTTACCAGCCTATAAGAGGTTTCTTAATCCTTTAAAGGAGACCTAAAATCACACCAGATTAAATCACTGTTAAAATTACTATACTTGTGACAAGAATACGGCAGAGGTAGTTTGTGAGGTTCCCTAGGAATAAGAAGGTATTCTTCCAAACTGTTCTATTATTTCCTTTACCTTCTTTTTATCAGTGTCACATACTCATAATGAAGAGACACAGAAGCAGCATACGTCAAACACATCACCATGCAGGGAGCTCTGTTAGCTCCCCTTTCCTTCCTCAGGTCTTCTTACTATTTCGGCTGTAACTCTCCACCTGTTTGTGTGCTGTTTGTTTCTTTGTTTCTAGGTACAGGGTTAGGATTAAGGATAGGGTTAGGGTTAGGGTTACAGTTAGGGTTGAGGTAGGTATAGGTTTACAGTTCTGTTTAAAGTTGGGTATGAGGTTTTTGTTAGGGCTAAGGTTGTAGGGTTAGGGTGAAGGTTAGTGTTAGGGTAGAGATTAGGTTTTGGGTAGGTTTAAAGT